GCCGATTTGACGCAGAAATAGCTGGCCTGAGTTGTGTAGGAGGTCAGACTAAATGAAATAAAGGTCCTTTTGGACGTCAAATGTCTGGTTCTATACCTGCAGGTGTGTAAGTTACCTGGATACTTGTTAGTCTTGTCTCTGGATTCAGGTCCCAGGTCCAAAAAATCTTCCCTGTTCAGAAAAACACCTCAGAAAATGCTTAACTCCAGATAATGTCAATGGGACTCAAGCTCTGAGATTTAAGTACTTTGCTCAAAGGGGTGCCTGGCAGACTAAACAGATGGACGTGCAGTTGTTCATTGGGACGGAGCGTCCCCCGCATTTCAGCCCATGTGGGAGAAGACTGGATATTTCTCCTGCAGAGTTCCCTTCTCTGGGTCTGTGCTGTATGGAGGAGGCTGAGGGTGTGAGGGGAACCAGCACCAGGCTGGTGGTGTCAGCCAGGGTCCCATGGGTGATGGGGAAGGGCTGAATGACCATTGATCAGCATGGGAGTATGGCCTTGGTGCTAGTCCATCATGACTCATGTGTGACCCATGGAGCCCCTCAATGCCAGCCGGCAGAGGTAACCCCATAGTCTAACTCACACCAGGCCTAGCACGCTCATTGCCGCAGCTCACTGCTGTCATAATCTGTATCTAAAAGGGGTCATGTGAGGAACCCTAGGTGACCTGGTAACAAGCTGGTGGTCATGATCAATATGAGTGGGTGATGTACCTAGGAGTGCTGTATAAATAATTATAAACGTGTGTTGAAATATGTTCTTTAAACATATTTCAGTGCATAAAGCCAGCCTGTCCTAGACAAAGGAAAATTGTTTCAAAAGCTCGACTGTGTCTCCAGTGTAAACTGAAGCAGGTGAGGCTCAAAAGAATGGAAGTGCATCAAAGTGCCAAGTGGGGGAGATGCCACTTAACAATCATGGCAGGGGATGGAGGGTGCAACTCCTGGAATCCTTTCTGCCACTGGAAACAGGGCGATGAACTTTGGGAGATTTGAGCAGAGCCAGAGAGCTATCTTGGCATCCATCACCAGAGGAATACGAGAGGCCAGAGCTCTGATCTTCTGAGAAAAGGGGATCTGTCGGTCAAAAGGGGTTGAAATCTCTGGGAACTTACTAGAGGTGAGAAACCTGCTTAGACAATGATTGTAAGTTGACACAGTTAACTTTGAATCACTAGAAAGCATGTTGTGTTTGTAACATTTCATAGCTCTCTCATGCTTCCTTGAAATCACTTAAACCTACGTTCTGTCATCATAAACTTACTCTGGTTTTACTAGAAAAGCATCTCAGTGCTGTTCTATTGAACTGATGTGTGGGAATTCAGATAAACTACCAGGCTGGTGTGTGTTCTGTCTCCTTGAATGCAACAAGCTTAATGACGTCTGTGAGGGTGAAGTGGGAGGGCCTGGGCATGGCCAGGGATATGGTTTTGGGGAGACTCAGGTCTGGAAGGGCTGTTGGGGTCCCTTTGCAGGGAGTACCCAGGCTGGTGGAAGCCAGGGAGAGACCATTGCTCTGTGAGCCTGCTGCAGGTGGCAGGGATCTGAGCCAAGCTGCACAGGACAGAGGCAGGCTGCGCAGGGACCCCCTACTGCTCTGAGTGAACCCCCAAAGGATCACACTGTGGCGGGTTGGGATGTCACCTGAGACACCGGGACACCATTGAGTCAGACTCTTCTGCCAGCCTGGGCCCCCTTTTACCTGGACTTGCTGGGCTAGTTTACCCAGCCTCTTCCAGCCAAGCACACACAGGCAGGGCCACACCCCGCTGCACAGAGAGACAGAGATCTGCTCTGAGTCTGTTCAGCTTAAGGGACTTGCCACAACACCCAGATGTCCACTCCCCCTTTGGAGTACAAACCACACATTATATGAAATTCTCCTCTTCTCTCAGTGTGGAAGAGATTATGCAAAATTTCTCACCCACACCCCCATCCCCCAGTTAGAAATCGCCATAAACTGGGTTATATTATAAACCAGAAATAAATTTATTAACTATAACAGGTGTATTTTAAGTAGTTAAGGAGGTAGCAGACAGAACAAGGCAGATTACTAAGAAAATAAAACGGACCTTGCAAACTAAGCATAATACACTAAAGAAACTGGTTACGCGTGAGTTCTCACCCTAAATGTTGTTCTAATAATCTTCTTCACAGGCCAGATGCCCTTCCAGGGTGGGTCCAGTTCTTTCCTCATGTTCATCTTAATTGTTTCCAGCAGTCATCTTGGTTTGGGTAGCAGGGGAGAACTGACCACCAGGATTACCTCACTGTGACAGGTTTGGTCAAAGAGCCCATCTTGGGACTGTCAGCTGATGCGCTGAAATTACCTCTGAGCCTGTTTTCCCTGCCAACCTGGGCCTCCAGAAGAACCCTGTCTTGTTGAGCCAGACATGCTAGCCTGCTACAACACAGACCCAGAGTCTGGGCCATGCCCCCAAAGCTGCAGACCTAAACTGAAAACAGCTCAGCAAGGTACCTGTCTTCAGTGCCCAGCTCCCCAGCCCCAATGGGATCTAAACCCCAGAAAAATCTGCCTTACACTGTATAAAATTTTATACAGTATAAATTCATATTGTTCGCCCTCTTCAGCACTGAAAGAGCGATATGCACAATCTGTTTGCCCCTCCTGGGAACAATTACTTACACTGGGTTTATTAATAAACAAAAGTGATTTTATTAAGTATAAAAAGTAGGATTTAAGTGGTTATAAGTAATAAGAGACAGAACAAAGTAAGTTACTAACTAAAATAAAACAAACACGCAAGGCTAAGCTTGTTACGCTAAGAAACTGATGGCATGTAATATCTCACCCTCAAAGATGTTCCAATAATCTTCTTTTACAGACTAGACTCATTCCTAGTCTGGGCCCAGTCCTTCCCTGATTCAATCTTTGTTAGTTCCAGCAGACATCTTAAGTGGTAAGCAGGGGTTTTCTCATGACTGACCATCTCCTTTGTCCTGCTCCACCCCCTTATATAGATTTGGCAAAAGGCAGGAGTTCTTTGCCTCAGTTTGACAAAAAAAAAAACAGCTTCTCATAGAAAAGTACAAGGTTTAAGATGGATGCTGGTATCAGGTGACATGGTCACATGTCCCTGCAAGACCCCAGTCTCTATTACCCACAGGCTGGCTCACATGTATACAGGCAGGCTTGCAGTTAAACAAGGCCATTTGCAGCTAATTGTCCTGGTAAATGGGAGCCATCAAGTTCCTAATGCCCCATTGACGGCCCTCACCTGCTATGACTACATCAGTAATACAAGTTCATACCTCATATTTCTAACTTCAGATATAGGAATGATACATGCATACAAATAGGGAAATCAAATTCAGTACATTATAACTGTTTCAGTGATATATTACAAGAGCATATTCCTAAGCATATTTTCATAAAGCATATGGAGTGCAATGTCACACTCACTCCTGGCCCTTAAATAAGATTTGCATAAGGTAGGAGTCCTTTGTTTCCTAATTTGACCACCCTACTCTCTCTCCTCCCCCCTCCCCCCCACCCCCTCGCTTCTCATGGAAAAGTACAGAATTCCAGATGGGTTCCAGCATCCGGTGATGTGGTCCCATGCTTCTGCAAGGCCCCTGTAGCCATTCTTCACAGGCTGACCCACACATTCAAAGGAAGAGGAAGCTCTTTTACAATTCATTGTCAGTGCTGATGGTCCATTAGCACTGTCTGGCTTTTCCATTGTTGTACCTGAAGTGTCAGCAGTGGAAGTGACCCAAAGCAGCAAATATGAAAAACAGATACACAGGTATCCTAACTTCATCTACAAAAATGATCCATGCATACGAATGGGACAATCATATTCAGTAAATCATAACCTTTCCAATGATACCTTGCAAGAGCCATCTTGCATAAACTATATTTCAGTTATGTCATAAGCATATTTTCATAAAGCATATGAAATGCCACATCACACACACTACACAAGGAAGTTCTTTGCTCTCCTTGCTGCACTGCAGTGGGGTCTAGTGATCATCTTTCCAGGCCAGGGGTGGAGGTTGCTCTCTTGATTTCCTCACAGCTTAAATTAGGCATCAGCGAGAGGCGGCAATAAAGGACCAAAGCCCCAGTGAGCCAGTTGCTGCCCAGACATGTAGTGAGAGACAGTCCCCACTCCAGAGAGATCTCCTCCCATTCTGGCTGGCATTGTGGAGGGATAGGAGTATGTGCGTGGGGGCGGGGGAGTGGCCGTGATGGGGACATAGTTGTACCCCCCCATACCTAGAGAGGGTAGCAACACTGCGCAGCTCCCCAGGGGAGTAAGTTGGGGCCATTCCCTAGGCAGAGTGGAGGAACCCTTGCTCCAAACCAGTGCATCAAGGGCTTTGTACTATTTATAGCCCAGTCCCTGTAGGGTGGGGTTGGGGAGGGGAAGGAACCTCTCTGGGTTTTGCTGCTCAGACGCTGGATTTTGTAGTACGGGTCGTACCTCTCTAAACCAGCACTCCCTGGTCCGGCAACATCCGTTGTCTGGCATAGGTGGAGCGCGCTGGCAGTTCCCAGCCAGAAGCGCAGATGTGGCCCCAGGTCCCCACCGCCAGCTCCTCTGCAGCCGCTCGGCCCAGCCGCTGGCCCCAGTTCCCCCTCAGCCCCCTCTGCAGCCACCCATGGCAGCTGCCAGCCCCTCTGCAGCCGCCAGGTTACTGGCCGCCGGGCTCCGCTCCTGGCCCCGACCCAGAGCTCTGCAGCCACCCCCAGCTGTGGTCCCAGCCTTACCCTGTCCACGCCCCTCACTGCCCCAGGCTGGGACCACAGCTGGGGATGGCTGCAGAGCCCGGTCAGGGCCAGGAGTGAAGCCCGGCGGCCAGGAACCTGTTGGCTGCAGAGGGGCCGGCCGATGTTGACCTACCTTGGTCCAGCAAATTCCCTGGTTCATCACCAGTCAGGTCCTGAGAGTGCTGGACCAGGGAAGTACAACCAGTAACAGTGATATGGAATGAACCTGATCAACATTTGTTTCCTTGCACCTTACCAGGATTTCCAGTTTCCAAACCAGAGACCATCTCCTGGCTGGAAGAAGGGAAGGAGCCATGGGTCCCCGATCTCCCGGGCTGTGAGGAGAGGGAAATCCCAAGCGATCCCCACAGAGGTGAGGAATCATCCGACTCAGAAACCAGTTGTTGTCTCCTTTTAGCAGACGTTACTCATGCATTTTCATCACGCCTGTCTGACCCTTCAGCCCTGGCCGTCATCTATACTTGGGGGTGGGGAGGAAGGATTGATCCGTTTCTCTCTCCTCTGGAGAAGGATATGGGTGGAGCAGGATTCAGCTCTTGATAGTTCAATATCCCCAGCAGTTATTTGGATTTGATCCCCCCTTTCCTGTTCCCTTTCTGAGGTTCGCCGTCCCCCAGCACAGGGACTGACTCCTGTCCGGGTCCTCTCTCTCTGTGTCCCAGCAGGCGATGGGACGGTGAGTGGGAACGAGGAGGAGAATCCTCAGCAGGGGACGGTATCGGGAAGAGGTGAAGGGGACGTTTCCCAGAGTCCCGAGGAGGGAGAAGCCCGTGAGAGCCAGAGCCGCACAGAGAGTCAGCAGGGAAACCACTCAGAGGAGACACTGGTTAAATCCACTCACAGCGGAAGAGGAGAGAAGAAAGTCAAGGAAACTATTCAACAGAGAATCCCCACTGGAGAGAGACTCCATGTGTGCAGTGACTGTGGGAAAAGCTTCCGGTACAGATCAGAGCTTATTAGACATCAGAGAATCCACACATGTGAAAGCCCTTACAAGTGTCCAGACTGTGGGAAAAGCTACAGACACAGGTCAACCCTTAGTGGGCATCGTACACTGCACACAGGAGAGAAGCCCTATAACTGCCCTGACTGTGGGAAGAGCTTTGGTCAGCGCTCACTCCTTATTAAACATCAGAGACTCCACAGAGGGGAGAAACCCTACAAATGCTATGAGTGTGGGAAAAGCTTCAGTCGGAACTCAAACCTCCTAGCACATCACAGAACGCACACTGGAGAGAAACCCTATAACTGCCCTGACTGTGAGAAAAGCTTCAGATACTGGTCAACCCTTTTCAAGCATCAGAGAATCCACACAGGAGAGAAGCCCTATAACTGCCCTGACTGTGGGAAAAGCTTTGGTCAGCGCTCAGCCCTTATTAAACACCAGAGACTCCACAAAGGGGAGAAACCCTACAAATGCAATGAGTGTGGGAAAAACATTAGTCGGAAACACCTTCGATCACATCAGAGAATCCACACAGGAGAGAAGCCCTATAACTGCGCTGAGTGTGGGAAAAGCTTCAGGAACAGCTCAATCCTTATTCTCCATCACAGAATCCACACGGGAGAGAGACCTTATGAATGTAGTGAGTGCAGGAAAAGCTTCCGTCAGAAGAACGCCCTTCTATCACATCAGAGAACCCACACAGGAGAGAGACCCTATGAATGTCTTGAGTGCGAAAAAAGCTTTAGGAACAAGGCACACCTTATTAGACATCAGAGAACCCACACAACAGAGCGACCCTATGAATGCCTGGAGTGTGGGAAAAGCTTCCGTGAGAATTCACAATTTCTATCACATCAGAGAATCCACACAGGAGAGAGACCCTATATCTGCCCTGACTGTGGGAAAAACTTCAGGCAGAACTCACACCTCCTATTACATCAGAGAATCCACACAGGAGAGAAACCCTATAACAGCTCTGGCTGTGGGAAAAGCTTTGGTCAGAGCTCACCCATTTTTGAACATCAGAGACTCTACATGGGAGAGAAACCCTACAAATGCAGTGAGTGTGGGAAAAGCTTCACTCGGAAGTATTCCCTTCTCTTACATCAGAGAACCCACACAGGAGAGAGACCCTATAACTGCCTTCTCTGCGGGAAAAGTTTCTATGAGAGAACAGCCCTTATTCAACATCAGAGAATCCACACGGGAGAGAAACCCTACAAATGCAATGAGTGTGGGAAAAGCTTCTGTCGGAACACATACCTCCTATCACATCAGAGAATCCACACAAGGGAGAAACTCTATAACTGCTCTGACTGTGGGAAAAGCTTCAATCAGAGCTCAGCTCTTATTGAACATCAGAGACTCCACATGGGAGAGAAACCCTACAAATGCAGTGGGTGTGGGAAAAGCTTCACTCGGAAATATTCCCTTCTCTTACATCAGAGAACCCACACGGAGGAGAGACCCTCTAACTGCCCTGTCTGCGGGAAAAGTTTCTATGAGAGAGCAGCCCTTATTCAACATCAGAGACTCCACATGGGAGAGAAACCCTAGAAATGCAATGAGTGTGGGAAAAGCTTCCATCAGAACGCACACCTCGTATCACATTAGAGAATCCACACGGGAGAAACCCTATAATTGCCCTATCTGTGGGAAAAGCTTCAGCCAGAGCTCACACCTCCAATTACATCAGAGAATCCACACAGGAGAGAGGCCCTTTAACTGCCATGACTGCGGAAAACCTTCAGTCACAGGTCAGCCTTTGTTTCTCTCTGGATAATCCACACAGGGAAGAAACTCTTTTAATGTCCAGAATATGGGAAAAGCTTCACTGTGAGCTCAGCCCTTACTACACATCAGAGACTTCACAGTGGAGAAAGACCCAATGAATGTATTGACTGTGGGAAAAGCTTCAGTCAGATCTCACACATTCAACCACATGACACAACACACATGAGAGACAGACCCTACAAGTACCCTGGTTGTGGGAAATGCCTTATGTCACAGCTCAAACCTCAGAACACATAAGAGAATCCACAGGCAACACAAACCCAAGAAGCATCCTGGCTTGCAGTGGGCCAAATAAACAACACTTTTGCCAATTCCCGCAAATCTCAGAGGGTCAGACAAGATGTGGCTGGAGTGGCCATGTAACGAGGACACGGCATAATTATTAAAGCAGAAAACGAAATCACTTGCCTGGAGCAGAGCTGTTTAGAACTGGGGGAGCTTTAGGTTGGATATTTGGAAAAACTCTTTCACTAGGAGGGTGGTGAAGCACTGGAATGGGTTACCTAGGGAAGTGGTGGAATCTGCATACATCCGATGAAGTGAGCTGTAGCTCACAAAAGCTTGTGCTCAAATAAATTTGTTAGTCTCTAAGGTGTCACAAGTACTCCTTTTCCATTCTTAGAGGTTTTTAAGGCCCGGCTTGACAAAACCCTGGCTGGGATGATTTAGTTGGGGATTGGTCCTGCTTTGAGCAAGGGGTTGGACTAGATCAGGGGTTCTCAAACTGGGGGTCGGGACCCTTCAGGGGGTCACAAGGTTATTATCTGGGGGGTCACAAGCTGCCAGCCTCCACCCCAAACCCCGCATCGCCTCCAGCATTTATAATGTTGTTAAATATATAAAAAAGTTTTTAATTTATAAGGGGGGGTCGCACTCAGAGGCTTGCTATGTGAAAGGGATCACCAGCACAAAAGTTTGAGAACCACTGGACTAGATGACCTCCTGAGGTCCCTTCCAACCCTGATAGTCTATGATTCCATGATAAGAGTCTGAGATAAGTCTTCCACGTTGTGATGGGATCTGAGTATAATTTTCAACCAGTTTTCATTGAGGTTCTCCATTGATGTTTGGTTTTATATACCTAAACTCAACCTTATGTTATGTGCTCTGACTTCTCATTAAGTGTTGATAGTACTGTAGGCTGGGATCCGCCAAGGGACTTAGGTGCTGTGACCCTCAGCAATGCCAAGACTAAATTTTTAGGCACCTAGAAAATCACAGGAACAACACTGGAGCAATGAAGCCTGATTTCGGGGCACTGGTTCCCTGTACAATGAATGAAGAGAAGTATGATTGACAAAAGACAGCAGACTAGGCAGGGCACTGCCTAAGCTAATCAATGGGAGATTGGCACACAGCTCTCTGGCTATGGTCCCGCTAATATTTTGCATCCATTTGTGGAATGAATTTTGTTATGTGCACTGAGGTATGTGTGGATGTGCGCCACCAGTAGAAACAAAAAACCTAGCTATAATCTATCTTTTTAAAAAGTTACCATAGGATAATTACTTCAGCCAGGACAGGTTGGGCATTTTAGAACTCACTACTCAAAGAATTAAATTGAAGTGTAAGAGAGAAATAAAAGTATGAAATGCATAGACCAGTCAAAGAACTAAAACAACAGCACTTTGAAAGAATAAAATTGCAGAGAATAAATGTGCATTGCGGGAAGTACCAAGAAGTCACACCCACAACAATAATACAAGTATGTGTTGGGAGGTGAGTGTGAAAGAGACTGTGTGTGTGAGAGAGAAAGACACTGTGTGTGTGTGTGAGAGAGAGAGCGACAGAGAGAGACACTCTGTGATGTGTGTGTGTGTGAGTAAGACACACTGTGTGTGAGAGAGAGAGAGATTGTGTGTGTGTGTGACTGTGTGTGAGTAAGACACTGTGTGTGTGTGTGAGGGGGGGAGGCAGGGACATTGTGTGTGTGAGAGAGAGAGACTCTGTGGGTGTGTCAGAGAGAGAGGGGGGAGGCAGGGACGTGTGTGTGTGTGAGAGAAAGAGACACTGTGTGTGAGAGGGAGAGAGAGACACTGTGTGTGTCTGTGTGTGTGTGCAGGCGTGTGTGTGCGTGCAGGGGGAGGGTATGAGAGATGCCCTACCCCTTTAAGTAGATCGGCACTTACCAGTCTGAAGGCTGCTTGTTCAGACACAACAGCAGCCACCAGCAGCTCCCTTCCATGTGCCCCCCCCACCCCGCTCTGCGGAGATGGGATACATGAGCAGGGGGAGGGGAACACCCTGACATCAGCACCCCCACCTTCCTCCCCGGTCTGCGCAGCAAACAGGATGCTCCTGGGACCGGCTGGCCCCAGGCTCCAAGGCAGAGCGGGCTGGTAGCTGACTGACTGCTGGGGGGCTGCGCAGCAAGGAGGGAACACGGGTGTGTGCTAACCCTCCCCCTCTTGGCTGCCGGAACCTATCTCCGTTTGGGGTTGACAAAGCGGGAAAGGTGGATGCTCCTCTGCCACAGGGCCTGGTCCAGGCGGTGGGTTCAGACGCCAACTAAGTCTGCACAAAACAGTGAGGAAAAATCTCCTAAGAACATCACCGGACGAAGTTCCAGGGTTTGAATCGGGCAACGTTGTGACTAAAAGTGAGGTGGTGCCAATTTCAATTGCCACGTTTGCATTCCCAACAGCCAGAGTTTCTGCTCCCACCTTGTCTGAGTGGTGCTCAGCTCACTAGAGCGGGCTTCCTAAATTGATCTTACTGCCTAAACGAGCTGCCCTTCAAATCTTTGGTTTGTGGAAATCCATTGCTTGGGGGCTAATTTTCTGTTGTTGCCTTGTTTCAACTCAATTTCTAACTTTAAGAGCTACTGAGAACTGGCAACTCTGTCAATCAGTCTGTTACACACACACCCGCCCGGTGCTGCCTTTGCATGTGTGAGACAGCATTACCTGCTGGTGAGAGAAACATCCTGACATCTCTCTCCCTTGGCACGCCACTCTGCATGTGTGAGCGAGAACAGCCATCTTCTGAGGCTCACTTCAACCTTTGTGTTGGGTGAATACTTCTACATTACTTTCAGCGCCGTTGTGTGTTTCTAACTACAGAGTTGCCCTACTTTATACTCCACGCTAGCCCCATTCCTGTCCTGGGGTGGGAATTTCATTGGTTTCTATTTTACCTTTGCCTATTTTAAATAACAAAAGCAGGGTACTTTGAGGTAGTTCTCTTTCTGTATTTGAGCAACAGAGTGTTCAGCTGTTGATGTATGGCATTGCCTTTAATAAAAAATAAACAGTGTAATAATGGCCGTGTTAGCTTTTGTGTGCTTGGCCCTCCTTTCAATTGTATTATCTTAGCCAAAATATCCAGTTTCCTCTAACTTGGTTTTTAGTTCAAAAGTTGTAATACCAAGTTGCATTAGAGTTGCTCTAATCTAATCACATCATTGAGCTTATTCTTGGTTACCGGAAACTGTTTCTTCGTAAAGGTCCGCTGTTGAATTATTTTCATAATGCTTAACTACTAGTTCATCTTAATTAGCAAAATACAACCTGTCGATGCTGTTAGGGGACACTCACGGATCACACACAGTTTTTTGAATGTTAAACCCAATTTTATACCACTCGTCCATTCAGTGTAGCTAACCAACCTTCTTTTCATTTACATGGTATTTTAGAATGTCATGTTTAGTTAGGGGGTTAAGTTTTGCTACATTGTATCACTTGTTTTATTTACCTTTTTTATCTGGTGTATCTTGTTTGCATACATCTTGTTGATTTAATTGATTACTGGTTTCTTAATTGACAAACCAGTTGATTACTGAAATAAACATTTCTCTATTTCAAATCCAAGTTCAATTGTTTATTTTTGGATTTCCCTTAATGCACGGGAAAAAGAATCCTTGGTAAACGTTTGTGGTTACTTCCTTAATGCATTAATAACCATAATCAGTAATTCCATGTTTTCATTTGCCTTCCTTGAACCACTCAGATAAGAAGCAATTACTTAATAATTCCACCTAATTCTTGAATCTCCTAATTATCAGTTTTGATAATTGTATCATTCTGTTTGTAAATTTACTTTGAATATCATCCGGTGTTCAACCCCTTTGTACCTCATACTCCTGTCATTCTGGGAAACCGTCTGCATCCCTGGCTTATGAATCATTGTCCTGGGCACTGGGACAGGAGAAAGGAGCTGCTTAACTCTACTCTGAGTCAATGCAGATTTGCACTGAAATGGGCATTTGGAAGGCTGAAAGGAAGGAGGAGGAGCCTCCTGTGATGCTGCTTCCCATATTTTTCATAGTAAAATTATGATATAATTGTGTCATAATCATAACATATTTTATGCAAGCCGGGCCATGTTGAGGTAGCATCACAAAGGTTATGATTTACTGAATATGATTATCCTCTTTGTACACATGTATCTGTGATGGGTTGGATCACAGAGACCCCCTTGGGGACTGCCACCTGATGTGTTGAGACTACCTCTGAGCCTGTTTTCCCTGTGTAGCTCGGGATTTCAGAACCCTGCCTTGTCTGAGCCAGACACTCTACAAACCCAGACCCAGGTCTGAACCACATCCCTGAAAAGCTGCAGGCTTAACTGAAAACAGCTTAAGAAGTGTTCCTGTCTCCAACACTCAGATGCCCAGCTCCCAGTGGGGTCCAAACTCCAAATAAATCCGTTTTACCCTGTATAAAGCTTGTACAGCGTAAACTCATAAATTGTTTGCCCTCTATAACACTGATAGAGAGGTATGCACAGCTGTTTGCCTGCCCCCCCCCAGGTATTAATACATACTCTGGGTTAATTAATAAGTAAAAAGTGATTTTATTAAATACAAAACATAGGATTTAAGTGGTTCCAAGTAATAACAGACAGAACAAAGTGAATTACCAAGCAAAATAAAATAAAACATGCACGTCTATGCCTAATACAGTAAGAAAGTGATTACAGATGAAATCTCACTCTCGAAGATGTTCCAGTAAGCTTCTTTTACAGACTAGACTCCTTCTAGTCTGGGTCCAGCAATCACTCTCACCCCTGTGGTTACTGTCCTTTGTTCCAGTCTCTTTCAGGTAACCTTTGGGGGCGGAGAGGCTATCTCTTGAGCCAGCTGAAGACAAAATGGAGGGGTCTCCCAGGGGCTTAAATAGACTTTCTCTTGTGGGTGGAAACCTCCTCCTCTCTCCTATCCAGAATTCAGCTCCAAGATGGAGTTTTGGAGTCACCTGGGCAAGTCACATGTCTATGCATGACTCAGTTCCTTACCAGCCAGGCCACATTCCTGGGAAAGCCCAGATGTGGATTGGTGTCTCCAAGTTCATTGCTGGCTTAAGTGTTTCTTGATTGGGCACTTACTGAGAATAGTCTTTTCTCAGGAAGCTGACCAACTGTTTCGCTGAGGCTACTTAAAATTAAACAAGTACACAGTCAATATTCATAACTTCAAATAAAAAATTACACATGCATACAAATAGGATTAATAGATTCAGTAGATCATAATGACAGGTTTCAGAGTAGCAGCCGTGTTAGTCTGTATTCGCAAAAAAGAAAAGGAGTACTTGTGGCACCTTAGAGACTAACCAATTTATTTGAGCATAAGCTTTCGTGAGCTACAGCATCCAATGAAGTGAGCTGTAGCTCACAAAAGCTTATGCTCAAATAAATTGGTTAGTCTCTAAGGTGCCACAAGTACTCCTTTTCTTTTTAATAGATCATAACCTAACCCAACATGGCAGTGCCCAGCAATCTCTAGAAGCAGGGGCCTGTGCAGGAATTTAAATTTTACTGCTTTGGGGTGGGGCACATTGGCGAGGGATGTGAAACTCCTCTGGGGAGGGGGAAAGCAAACTGCTCCAGCAATGGGGCCTGGCGAGGGGCACAAAACTCCGCAGGCTCCTGGGCTGTGGCAGGGAGAGTGCGAGAGCTCCTCTCTCCTGGGGCTGTGCCAGGGACAGCGAACTTTCCCAGCCCCGGGGCCGCAGTGGGCAGAGGGAACTCCTCTGGCTCCTGGGCTGCAAAGGGGGGATTGAACCTGGCTCATCCAGGTCCAAGCTGAGCTCTCTAACCCAGAAGAGCTACACGGTGGGCACCACCTTTGCCTCCACCGGCCACTGTGTGTGGGGTGAGGAGACTCCGAACTTGTTCTCACAAGGAACAGCTGAGGCACCAGGGCCACCTGGCTCCAGGAGAAGGGTTCCTGGCTTGTCATCACAAAATGTGGTGTGCATCCCATTCTTAGGTGCCTTCCTCTCCCTGCTCATTGCACACTCAGCCTGAGCATCACAACGCCTCAGGCCCTGGTGGCACCAGGTCTGGGTCCTTTAGCCCAAAATGCCACCACTCTCTCTGGTTGACGGCTCTTCTCCAAAACCAGAAATGTTTGCACCCCCAGCCCTTACCTGTACTACACCCAGAGAAGTGTGTCCATGGTAACAGTGACACCCCGTGCAGTGTGTTGGTGTGTGTGGTGGGAGAGGTTGGCAGAGACAACTTGCCCCTGGAGGGTTAGGGTGTGTGGGGAAGGAGTGTAGGGAGATTTTCTTTGCAGCAGACTGTAACAACATCACAGCACCTCCCAGCACCCTGTGTGTGTGGCCTATTAATTAGGGTTGGTCACACTTTATACAAGATAATAGCAAGATATTTTAGATTGTTGAGAAGTATTGTAGAGGTTGAGTTACAAGTTGTATTATGTGCCTTGTTATAACAAAGAAAGTATGTTCTCTGTAAAACTGTTTACATACTCTCCACATTCATGCAAAGGGAAAAAGAGAAGCATGAAGGCCATCATTAACACCAGATGGTCAAGGGAGGTGTGGAGAGACTTGAAGACATCAGGAGCTTATTGGAAAACATCCATGCCTAACAAAGGGCAATATTGATGACCCTGAAACTAAAAGTAAATGCCCACAAGGATAAAATAATGTGGATGTCGAGACCCTGACCCTTCCCATCCTGGGAATGTTGTCCCTCCTCCTTCCCCCCAATTCGGGATGCTGGCAAAAGGGCTGGTCACAGGACTGATTACAACCTGACTGTGCAAGACCCGTAGACACTAATGGAAGGGGAAGGTGCACCAGGCAGCACAGGAGGGCCAGTTGGGCCAGTGGTTTGGGGATTTAATATTTCTGGGAACTAATCTGTTCAGATCTTAAAGTCTCTGGTGCCAATGTCATTTTGAGCACTCTGGGGTCAGGCAGTGGGAAGCAGAGCAGGCTGAGAAAGAGCCAGCTCTCATCCACCCAACATGGCAGTGCCCCGCAAGTCCCTGGAAAAAGTTATTAAATCCCTCTGTACAGCTGTACTGCAATACAGCACGTGACGCGGCGTGGTGGAGCTCCCGTCTGCAGCAGTGTTAGGCTGGGTCTGCTCCTGGGTTTCAGGCACTTCACCACCACCCAGCATCCCAGCTCAAACAGGCAGAGATACGCGGGCTCTTTGGCAAAACCACCTCCCAGTCAGTATCTAGGGTCACTGCCCAGACACTTCCTATGCCAAGGTTTGGTGGTGGCACTCCCAGTTCAGCTCCTCATAACAGGGCAGGCCCTGGGAGCGTGGCCGTAGGTCCTGTTCTCCCCCCTTGAGTTCTGGTTGCTCTGCCAGAGCTCCCTTCTTCCTGGTCTGGTACCAGGCAGTGTCCCAGGAGTGACTTCTCTTTCATTTGCTCTTCCAGTCGCTCATAGAGCCTGGCATTCGGCGACTTGTTCAGATGAACTGGGCATGGTCCTCTCCCCAGAGGAGAGTCAAAGGATTGTCACTCAAGCAGTAATTCTTCAAACGCAAAATAACGTTTGTTTAAAGGAAATATTTAGTCACGATGTATTTAATAATCAAAGAAAAAACGGGCTGTGATACATGACTCCTAGCAAAAAACAGTTTCATTGCATTTTGCAATCATAGTAAGGCAATGCAATAGACTACACAAACCACAAAACAGACACAGTGTTGCATAACACAGTACACACAGACCCTTCATACATATATATATATATAAAGCCTTAATCCAATGTTACAACACAGTACACAACCTATTACAATACAATAGATTAATCCCCTGTACATAGGGATAAAGCCACATTACAATAGGACCCATTAAAAGGACATGACTGAGGACATTCCACAAGTGGTGATCGGTCACTTGGGGGAATGGAGGTGGTGGCTTTCATCCAATTTTATTGACAATTCTACCTGTGCATTCCTTATATTTAAAAATCATTAAACTGACTGTCCATCGTCTCAATCCCTCTGACCCGTCTGCTGGTTTTTCTGCTCAGTCAAAATGATTTCTGCTCTTTGATGGATTCCTCTGCCTGCTTCTTCAATCTGTTTTCTGCTCTACTCCGCCCAATCTGCTCCAACTGCTAACCACCCTCACACACTCTCAAGTCTATCAGCGCTCTGCCTTATGTATGATTTTTGACCCTCTCTGATTGGTTGCTCTTTCAATGCCAATAATTAGCCTAGTTCTCTCCAGGTGGGGTGATACCTCTTCAGACGTTCAGCTTGACCTGTCAGTCCTGCTGGAGCTACTTGAGAACCTCCTCCTCACCTGACTGACCCCTTTCTGGTATTTGGAACGAAGTTAATCTCACCGGCCAATGGAAGCTGTGGGAGCGGTGCTTGCAGTCACAGGCAGCGCACGGAGACCCACTGCCCCCCTCCTCCCAAGGGGTGTGCAGAGACGTGCCAGCAGCCGGCCACTTCTGGGTGCGGCGTGGGGTCACGGTAGGCAGGCAGCCTGCTTGAGCCCTGCTGCACCGCCAGCCGGAAGCCACCTGTGATAAACGTCTCCTGACCAGAGCCTGCACATCACACTCCCTCCTGCACCCTAATCCCCTGC